AGCCGCTACCAGATCCGCGCCTCCAAAGACAACGACGATATCAGCAAGACCGAGTACGCCTAAGCTACTCTCTTTCTTTCCTGTAAACTATGTATCTCTTCTGTTTTCCTACTGTCTTGATATTAAAGTAGCTCTCCTTTAAAGCTACATGCGGGTTAGCACCTGTCTTTGCAAAACATCAGTGTGGACAATCATGACAACAACTAGCAATCGATTGAGCTGGCCAAGAGATAATGATTACTACATACATCTGTAGCATTAGACATCCAGTAATAACCGGTATGGTACTTGCGATCCTGATTTGCTTCTAAAAATAATTTGGCTACATCCAAAACAAGACGCGCTGGTTCCTTGCACAATAGAGCACACATAAGCGAGCTGTGATTTCCTGCAAGTATTCTGCAGACAATCTATTTTTAGTACCGATCAAGTATCGAGAAGAGACATGCCATGAAAATGCGTTTGCCATGTTCCAGAGCAGCCGATGGTATAAAAGCTCGGTACAAGGGCCACCCAGCACCACTGCACAACAGTGTACTTCAGCAACCCCCTTCTGCCTTCCTCCCACGACCAAGGTAAAATCCTACATTTTGATAGTTGCTAGCCATGAATATTTTGACTGTCGCGGTATCGCTTGCACTTGCCTCTGCCCAGGTACAGGCGCTCGGCTGGAGCTTCAACAAGCGTGTTATTGGCGGCAGAGGTGCCTCGCCTGAAGAGTTTCCCTTTCTTGTAACAATCTCGCGCACCACCGACAAAGGGATCGAGTTCATCTGCGGCGGATCGATAATCCACAAGCACGTCATTGTCACAGCAGCCAGCTGCTTCACCAACGGAACCGCTGGCGATGTGGTATCACCGAGCAGACTGCTGGTCGGATTCGGAAACCACAACCGTAAAAAGCAGCTACTATACCCTGCCATTGACCTTGTTGTTCACCCAGAATATGAGCCAAAGGGAAACGCGAACAATATTGCCCTGGTTTCCGTCCCAGCTTTGCCACTGGATAACAGCAACGTTGCAAAGATCCCTGTATTCAAGGGCAAGGTTGTTGATGGCTCGGCAATGAACTTTGCTGGCTGGGGAAGCAGGACCAACGCTACCAAAAATGACGCATCGTCAGACATTCTGAGAAAAACCATCGTCAAGGTGGGCTCATCCGACAAGTGCAGGAAGTATCTCAAGGGATTCCAGACCAGCAACGGCCCGCAGACATGTACACAGAACAACCTGGCACCGAACTCTGGTGCATGTGGGCGCGACTGGGGATCGGGTCTTGTTGGTTTCGTGAAGAACAAGCCGTACCTGATTGGGTTGGCAAGTCACGGAACCGATCCTGATCAGAAAGGCAGCCAGGCTTGTGCTCAACCCACGGGCTTTGGAGTGTACACGCATGTAAATTACTACATTGGCTTTATCGCCAACACTACGAACCTCCCTGCCTCGACATTTTACTAATTGTTTTTTGTACAAAGAATCCAGCACCTGTGAAAACAACCAGTAAAAGGCGGCATCATGTGATACCCATATATCTTATTAAAAAAAACCAACCACACGTATACATGAGAAGCAAAACATTTTCGAATCGTTTTGTTTTTGGTTTATCATTACATCTCCCACACCTTACCCTATACTCCACGTACTACTTCATTTGCAGCCTTTGAAAATGGTAAAATTTGCTGTAATCTGCGCGAGTAACATGAACCGCAGCATGGAGGGCCACTACCAGCTGAAGAAGCACGGCTACAACATCTGCTCATACGGCACAGGCACACAGGTGCGCCTCCCCGGCCCGTCGCAAGACAGGCCGAATGTGTACGAATTCGGCACACCGTACAACCGCATCTACAGCGAGCTGAAAATGCAGGACCAGAACCTGTATACCCGCAACGGGCTGCTGATGATGCTTGACCGCAACCGCAAGGTGAAGGAGGCACCGCAGCGGTTCCAGCTAGAGCGTGACTCGCACGACATTATTTTTACGTGCGAGGAGAAGGTTTTTGATGCGGTGTGCGAGGAGATTTTCTCCAGAGGCGGGACGCTGAGTCGGCCAGTGCATGTTATTAATATTGAGATTAAAGATAACCACGATGAGGCGGTTAAGGGCGGGAAGACGATCCTGGAGCTGGCGCGGCTGATCATCGAGTCGGACGACTTGGAGCGTGACATGGACAGCATTGTTGAGGATGTGCAGAGCAGGTTCCCGCACAAGCTTCTGTACACGGTTGCGTTCTACTGAGAGCAGTGCCTTTTCTTGGCTGAGAAGAATATATGTAGTTTTGCCTTGTGTCAACACAAGTTGTGAGCGCGGGTGTGCCAGTTTCCATATTTCAGACCGATCAGGCTTCCAAACTAAATAAGCACAGTAGTTTTTTTTTTTTGCAGGATTTTAGAGTTTTCAGCAAAGACAAAAAATTCGTACACAATTCAGAGACGCAAGAATGGAGCATAGAGTCACAGCAGACGAGCTAGAATACATGGAGATTGCGGCACAGATGCTGGAGCTGCCGACGGCAGCGGTATTGTCTGGCATGGCGCTGTTCCACAGGTACCGACGGAATGTCAGCAAGAGCGGGCTGGCAGCTGACCCCCTGGACCCCAAGGCACGTACAACATTATATGGGCCCGACCACGCAACCCTGGCATACCAGCAATTCACATACACCAAGGCATACGTGTGTTCTTTCTTGTATTGTAGATATGTATGATGGTGTGCATCTACTTGGCAACGAAGATCACAGAAGAGCCACGCAAACAGCGCGACATCATCAACGTTGGGTACAAAATAGCGAATCCCTCACAGGCATTCCTGGCAGTTGGCGACACACTGAACGCGCTGCGCGAGACCATGGACAAGGCAGAGCTGGTCGTGCTACGTGTGCTTGGATTCAATGTGGACGTGGATCTGCCACAGCGGTGGATAGTGCAGATTGTGTACGGCATGGCGTGGTGGGCGGACAAGGGCATCCCGCCAGACGACACCGGTAAGTGGCAAATGGCATGCCAAGTAGAGCTGCAATAACGAGACATGCTCAAGCAGAACAAACATGTGGTGGCCGTAGAACGTATTGGTGTGCAAGTCAAGAATGTGGCACGCACGGCATGGCGTATGGCTAGCGATGCAGTCAGGGCCGGGCTGCTGGACGATTCGGGGTCATCGCGGAGACTCGGGGCAGCATGCGTGGTGCTGGCGATGGAAATCAACGGGGTTCCGCTGCCAGCGCGCGACCTCAGCGAGTGGGCAGACATGTGGGCCAAGACATCCAGCCGGCGACTCAGCGAGACTTGCGGTGTGCTGGAGCAGAAGATCCGACTGCGCATGTAGGAGATTTGGAATATATTTTTATGTGGCAGTGGACGAAACTAGTCATTTAGTGCTGCGACCACTCGATGCTCTTCAGGTCGATGCCCTCCTGGAACATCTCCCACAGCGGGCTCATCTCGCGCAGACGCTCGACGTGAGCAGCGACGTTCTGCACGACGTAGTCAACCTCGCTCTCGGTGGTGAAGCGGCCGAGGCCAAAGCGAATGGACGAGTGGGCCATGTCGTCCTCGGCGCCCAGAGCACGCAGCACATAGGACGGCTCGAGTGACGCCGACGTGCAGGCAGAGCCAGACGACAGGGCAACGTTCTTGAGTGCCATCAGCAGCGACTCGCCCTCAACGAAGGAGAAGGACAGGTTGACGCAGCCCGGATACATGTGGTTGGGGTTGCCATTGCGCACCACGTGCGAAACGCGCGACTGGATGCCGTCGATGAGGCGGCGGGCGAGGCTGGAGATGTGGGCGTAGTCATACGCAGCCTCGCGCTGAGCCAGGGCAGCAGCAGCACCCATGCCGACCACTAGCGGCGACGGAACCGTGCCGCTGCGCAGCCCGCGCTCCTGACCACCGCCGGTCATGATTGGCTCAAGCCGCACGCGCGGGCGGCGGCGCACAAACATAGCGCCGACGCCCTTGGGGCCGTAGAGCTTGTGGCCCGAGATGCTCATCAGGTCGATGTTCATCTCGTTGACGTCCAGCGGGATTTTGCCAGCAGCCTGCGCGGCGTCGGTGTGGAAGAACACGCGGCGCTCGCGGCACAGGCGGCCGATCTCCTTGATGTCCTGGACCACGCCGATCTCGTTGTTGACGGCCATGATCGAGACCAGCGATGTGGTGGGCCGGATCTCGCGCTTCAGCTGATCCAGATCAATGCGTCCGCCCTTGTCGACCGGCAGATACGTCACCTCGATGCCCTCCTCCTGCAGCACGCGGCACGAGTCCAGCACGCACTTGTGCTCGGTCTGGCTGGTAATGACGTGGTTCTTCTTGCCCTTGTAGAACCGCGCCACGCCCTTGATCGCCGTGTTGTTCGCCTCCGTGGCTCCCGACGTGAAGATGATTTCTTTGGGGTGGGCTCCGATCAGATTAGCCACCTGCTCGCGCGCTGTGTCCACCGCGTGCTCGGTCTCCCATCCGTACTTGTGCGTGCGCGAGTGCGGGTTGCCGTACTCCTCGGTCATGTACGGCATCATGGCATCCAGCACGCGCGGGTCCAGCGGCGTCGTTGCCTGTGCGTCCAGGTAGATCGGCATCGTGTTTGAGTCCAGCGCTTCAGTGGGCCTGTTGTGGTTGGGCACCGGCTCGGCTGCATAGCGAGTGCGCGCCGTGGTCGACAGCAGTCTCGATGTGCGCAGGCCGGCGGTGCGGACCCGGGGCGCAAGTGTCCTCAGTGCATTTGTCAACATTGCTTGGTGTTAATGGTGAGTGCCTACGAGCAAGAAGAAAAAAAAAAAACGGAAGTTGGGTGGGCAATAGGAAATGGAATGGAAAAGAACAGCTTGTCAGACGATAAGAGGAGAAAAATCCGGAGCTGGCAGCGGCGAATAGTCACAGCACGGCTTATTTTTTTGCCATCGCTGACAAAAGCCTGCACCCATGCTTGGCAGCGGAGCCGAAGCAAAAGGCGAGCCGCCGAGCCGCCGAGCCGCATGCACAAGGTATCCGGCTCGTGCAGAGGGCTGGCGTCCCTGAATGGGCTGGGTGCTGCCCTCACATGACAGCATGCCTGGCTCATTAAACGTGACGCTGCCAGTCCAAAGCCATCTGGGAGAAAAATATCCGCCGTGTGGCAGCAGTTCACTGAAGCTGGTGCGGCGGCGAGCTAGGCCAGGACTAGCAGGCTGAAGTGGGAAATTGCGGGAGTGTGTCCCATGTGGCTTCCTCTATTTACCTTCTGGGCCAGATGTTGTTGTTGTTGTCAGTGCCTGCTGTGGGTGGATCAAGAAGTTTAAAAATAACGATTTGTTGTGGACGGAGCAGGCACACCAGTCTTTTCCTAATTTAGACAGATGTACATTGAAGCGAGGTGGGCGGGCCACCGGTTCAGCAAAACCGATGTTTGCGTGTTTATGGCCCGCAATTCAAGCTCCGACAGGAGGGAAAACCGGGCGGCAACTACGACGATACACAATAAACGCAGTGCCGCCGATTACTCCCTGTTCCCAGGAACCCGAGTCCTATTTTTAATTAGGCACGTCATCGGGTCGCCCAGAACAGCACGGAGCGGAGGGACTGGGGCCTGCTGCTCACAGTGGGAGTTGGACGAGGGGAGGGAACAGTGCGCCTTGCATGGCTCGCCGCTTGTCGACTGCGAGAAAAAGCAATACAGCAATAGGAATGTTTGTACTCCGTCGTGTGCGCTTTTACTCGGGGTTCCTTTTTGGACGCCGGCGTGTTTGACTCGAGGCGAAACGGAAACAACACGGGCGCAAGCCGCCACTCCTGGGGCTTACTTGTCCGATGGCAGAGCCTTGCTCTCCCCCAAGAGCACACCCCTCAACAGAAAATTGGATGATAGAATCGCTTCAAATAAACGTGCAGGCGGAAATTTCCTCCTTTTGCTGGCCCACCTTTTCTCCTCTTGGCTTCTTGTTCAAGCTGGCATCCTGTATTCATTCTTTCTCCTCTTCTCTGCCGCCCTACTACTTATTGTTTATCCACACGAAAAGAATAAACCCAGCGCGCGCAGACCTTTGCTCCGCAATACTCCTCCAGGGCCCCTCGTTCTGCCCTCGTATTCCCCTCGCTGTAATCCCGCAATCGCTCGTATTCATTTTCAACGCACAATCTCTCTTTGGCTGAGGGGCAAATCATCGTAGCACATACGCTCCCCTCCTCCTCGTTATTTGTTAGATTTCCAACCCGCGCCCCACCACGCAGGCTCTAACTTTCTGCTTTCCCTCTCCATACGTACTGTGCATCCTCCAAGTATTTTCAAACTCCACACCGGCCCTGCAAGAAAAGCTTTTTTGTAGGGAGCAGGGTTTAACAAACATTCCTGCTCGTCCTTTTTATCTGCACACGCATTTTTCTTTGCTTTCTTTTCCTTCTGTCGCTTCGATTCACTCTTTCTCAACCGCCGCCTTTCTTTTCACTCTCTTCCCATCCCTTGCCACACATACACAAATCACTCGCCCCGTTCCAGTTACAAGTATCCTCATCCTTTTTCCTTGATTTTTTCACAAGCGGCTGCGTATATTCCATCCCATCCCTTTTTATATTCTTACTGACAGTATAGACACCCCCCCGTTCACCTATTTCCAGCTGATGGCATACTCGACGCCATATCTGCATCAGACTGCCACCGCAGCGGGTGGTGCCAGCGGTGGTGGTGGTGGTGGTAGTGGTGCCAGCGCCAGTGAATTCAAATTCGGCCCGGGGCAAGACTTCCGGCGCCTGTCCTTGTTTGATCCCGCAAGGATTGACACCTCTGGTGTGACACCGCCGCCACTGTCAAACAATGCCGCCGCCCCATCTACTATAGGCTGGAGTGGGCAGTCTGCGGCTGCGCAGTACAAGGCCATCAGCAGCACTACACTCGGGCAGCAGCAGCAGCAGCAGCAGCAGCAGGCGTCAGCAAGCCAGCTGTGGATGGGCGACATTGAGCCGTGGATGGACGAGGAGTGTGTGCGGCAGATCTGGCGCGCATGGGCGAGCACGTGGCGGTGAAGATGATCCGGGACCGGCTAACAGGCGGGCCGGCCAATTACTGCTTCGTGGAGGTCGCCTCGCCTGCAGACGCCGAGCGGCTGCTAGCCACACACAACGGCGCGCCGATGCCAATGCCGTTCCTGCGCGCCTTCCGCCTCAACCGGGCGGCAGGCGCCATGGTGCCTGGCAGCGGCGCCGCGCCGCTGCATCCAGCCATGTAGGTGATGCGGCGAGTTCTCGCTGTTTGTCGGCGACCTGGCTCCTGAGGTCTCCGATGTGTTGCTGGCCAGCGAGTTCCGCAGCCGCTATGCATCAGTGCGCACAGCCAAGGTCGTGGTGGACCCTGTGACAGCGGTGCCGCGTGGGTACGGCTTCGTGCGGTTCGCCGACGAGCATGAGCACCAGCGCGCGCTGGTCGAGATGCAGGGCTGGCTGATTGGCTCGCGCCCGGTGCGTGTCTCGGCAGCGACGCCCAAGCGTGGAACGGCAGCAGTCGAGCTGGTGCGCGACGGAGCCGGTTCGCCGGCGTCGTCGGCGTCGAGCGACGGCAGCAACGAGTCCGTACAACCCGGCCCACCGACCCGTTCAACACCACCGTGTTTGTGGCGGGCTGATGGGGCGGTGAGCGAGCACGAGCTGCACGACTTCTTTGCCACGCACGGCGAGGTTGTCTACTGCAAGATCCCGCCGAACCGCGGCTGCGGCTTCGTCACCTTCGCCAAGCGCGCGTGTGCTGAGGCCGCCATGCGGGCTCTCAACGGCCACCTACTGGGCGGCTCGCGCGTGCGGCTCAGCTGGGCCGTCACAGAGCCATGCCCGGCACAACCACCGGCGGAACCAGATCCACCACCGTGCCAGCGTCAGCGGTGCTGATGCTACGCCAGTCCGTCGCTCGGCCAGCTTTGGTAAGCACCCCGCGCAGCAGCTGGGGCTGGGGCTCACCTCTGCGATGCTTGTGCCGTGCAACGCCGCTGCAGCTGGCCATGCCGCTGCTGGCTGCCAATGCTCCGCGCCCGCGCTGCTGGTTCCACCCGGCCCACCGTACCAGCACCCGCCTGAGACGTATACACCGCAGGGCTTCTACAATGCATCACCCATGCATGCTGGCGCCCTCGAGTTCTTTGCCACGCCTACCACACCACACGCCCCGCATCCACAGCAGCAGCACTGCTACTACGAGCCGTCGATGCTGTCGACTCCCGTGGCAGGTGCTCTTGACTCGCCGCTGTACTTTTCTCCAGCCAGCACGTACTGGGCCCAGCCCACGCCCGCAACGCCAGCGCGCAGCTCGACTCGAGCATGCCGTTTCCTTGCGGACGACCATCACGCCCCGCGCTACGACTCCCACCGCCTGTCGGCCCCTGGAATGCTGGTGCCCAGCCCCGGTGAGTTCCTAAGCCGCCGCCTGAGTGTGCTGGCCCTCAGCTCCCACCGTAGCTCACCAACAGCCCCGAGGCTGCTAAGCAGCAACAGCAGCAACAGCAGCAACAGCCGCAGCAACAGCAACAGCCACCACCCATTGAGCGCCGCCCCAGCGTCGGCGTCATAGGCCAGCGCCGTCTGTCTGTCCGCCCCACGCTGCAGCACTCGCAGAGCCTGATCTTCCCATCGTCTTCCAGCGACAAGCCGGCTGCTGCTTTGGTGCTTCGACGCTGTGGGGCTCTCTCACCGGCAACCCGCCTGGATACTCGCCAACCCTGAACCCACAGCCCGGCGACGCTGCAAACAAGTCGGCTGC